GGGGAGACCTGGACGTAGATGGGAGGATAATGTCAGGCGTGATCTATGGGAGATAGAAGTTGAAGGAGACTGGATTTTGTTGGCCCAGGACAAGGACCGATAGAGGGCTTTGGTTAGTTTGGTGCGGAACCTTTGGGTTGCCTAATCCATCTAGTTAGAGGGAGGATTTGATTCATCTAAGGATAGGAGACAATGGCAGGTTCTTGTGAACATGGGAATGGACTTTTGTTTACAAATAAGCACAGAATTTTTTGACCTTTAAAGAGTTTTCAAGACTGAATCAGTCACAAAATCACATGAGCTAGAAAACATACTTTTGATAAAAACTGATAAAAGAACTAAGATTCTTACCATTTTTCTGTAGGATAGGTCATAATATAGTTGATTTGCAGTCCATGTTTGCATGCAGTTCACACATTTGATACATTCTGAAGTAAATCACAAACCTAGTGTATAGCCAACAATTAAAATGCATGATATTGTCGCAATCACTCCAAACCATGGCCATGTGATTACTCTTCCCCAACCACATAACTTGATTCAAGGCCTTTAGCCTGCTTCAAGCGACATCAGACGTGTTAACGCACGTCAGCCATTCTCGGAACATTTTCTGGAAGTTCCTTAGCCAGCAGTGATGTTGCTGTGTTTGTGGATAGAAGGATCCAGAATTTGGGGGACATTTCGTTTTGTAAAGGGCTATTTATTATTCTATTTTAGTCTACTGTCAGTTTAGAATGAATCAATTGCGCAGTTACCGTATGGGATGACTATGACCGGAACAGAATCATAACAAGAAATCAGTTGTACCTAGCGTGAAGTATGACATCTGTAATGAAGACGGCACTTAGTAAACCAATACAATATTAATAAAAGGAATAATTATTTTAACCATTTTCAGAATAAATGCAGCTTTGAATTTGAAGAACCCGCAGTTTAATCAATGTTAAAGTATATTTTGCACTTTGAACTGATATTCATACATCCCCTACTGCACCGATGGTTACAGAGATTCAAAAAATTGACTTTGAAGAGTACAATTGTGATGTTTCAGGTTGTTATGGCTAAAGGATGACTGTCTTCCGAGATGTTGCACTGTGTAATCTGGTGGAAGTTTACTGATGATTCAGAGGTTGTCACTGTCTCCATCATTAGTAAGCTGCATGTGAAAATCTTTCTTGAGATATGGGTGCAGGTTGAATAAGGTAGAACCTTGGCCAGACGAGAGGGCATTAAAGGAGGAAACAGCAAGCAGAGGCCTCCTACGTCCATTGATGGAGTGGCTCAGATGCAGACTACGATTTCTGTTCTTATCAGGGTGTAGTTTGAACCTAATCGTCTCCCTGATAATCATCTGGTCCATGTATCTGCATTTGGTGGCAACTCTGGAGTACCGAGTCCTAAGTCATCCTTCACAGGCTGAACGAAATTGAGAAGGAGTTTGCTGATTCAGTTCAAGGTCATGCTGATGAAGGGAAGGAAGGCAACAGACAGGCTTCTCTAGGGCTGGGGCATCTCTCTGGTGGACTGAGAGCCCATCAGATCTGCTAGTTACTGTCGCCATTCTGCCTGAAATTGGCCCAGAGAAACTCCACCTCTTCATACAGGTTTCCCCGGTCACACAGCGACCGGGCCCTTTTTTGACAGCATAGAGTTCATGCTATTTTTTAGAAGGTTGGTGAGAGTTTTAATCAAGATAGAGGTTACTGTGCGTGCGGGAACTTCTTACATGATGATCTTAAGGGCCACATTGAGGCAAAATAGCTGCAGCAGCTATCAGATCCTCAGTCTATCAGGGTCAGCCCAGAGAAACCTGTTCCTTGTCGCCTTCCTTCCTTCTGTCAGCACGACCTTCAACCACATCAGAAAGCTTCTGTCCTCCACAACACTGAGTTTGTGGGCCTCCTTGAAGATCAGAACACCCAGCAAATGAGGTCAGTCCTGCAGTGGTAAGACCGGCCATTCTATTGAGACCAGGTGAAGGAGCAATGAGCATTTCTGAATCATGTAATTCCACTGTGGTCTGCCCCTTCTCCCAATTTCTCCCTCGATATTTCTGTTCTCAGGCTATGGTGGTGGGGACAGTAGGCCATCTGAAACATCGCGCAACATCTCTGAAGAGAGTCATCTTCAAAGATAGAATTTGTTAACTTCATGCACTTTTAGACTGGTAATGTTGAAGTTGTCATACAGCTAGTGTTTGGATACCAGAAGCAGGAAGTCTGAGGGTAGCACGATCAAATTTAGCAGAATTTCACGTCTCCATTCATGTGTTGGTGTGATGACCTGTGGACCTTATCTCTACTTAAAGGCGCACTCCAACTGTGCAATACGTGCATCACTGGATTCACGTTTTTCTTGGAAATTAGGCTTCTTCGTGTGCATTTCTTCAATTTTACTTTTTAAATGTGTAACTTTAGTAACTTTTCTATCTAGTTCCACTGTCAATCTCTTCATTTTATCTGCTTGCGCTGAAATCTTCTTGTCCACCTTGAAAATGAACGACAGTTATATTAATGTTTTTTTATATTTTGCACTTTGCATTGCTTAATGAATAAAATATTACCTGCTGCATTGAATTTACTAAAATTTAATATTTACACAGCGTTTAAACTAACCAATCTCATAACGCCACGATACAGTAAATTTAAATGATGTGGCATAAGGTTTGTGAGGTTGACTCAACTGCTGTTATTAATCATGTCTGTCGCTACATTTAACAGGTTAAACCGAAGCTTGAAAATTTAATTTAAAAGTCCTGATCGACGTTTTTATGGTTTTATTCAGCAACATTTAATTCTTAAGAATCTGTCAAATGTCCAAATATATAGAAATAATTCTTAATACATGATATCAGGTCATTTTGTTTGAATACCTGTTCTGTCTGTTTGTCTTGCTTAAAGTCTTCACGTCTTTTCAAGAATTTGCATTGCTGACACAGCAGAAGAGCTGGCTTTCCAATCATCATCTGGTTCTCCTTTATTAGATTTTGAATGTCCTCATTTTCATTGCTGATGCCTGTTAGTGCTGTGTACAGGTTAACCACGTGGTTCCACTAAAGAAAAAATTAATGAAAAGGAAAGAAAGACAAATGTTTATTCAGTGTAGGTAAACCTTTAAGGCTTTGACCGGGATGTTCTTTTGTTAAATCTATTGTGGTACCGCCTGATTCGACTTCTAATGGTTAAGTGAAGTGTTTTCTTCGCGGTAAGGACTGAATTCATAAATAATATTCAGACGATCTTCGGCTTCAAAGGGTTAAGGAAAGAGAGACTTTACATAGAATAGTGCATTGCCATGCTAGTATTTTTTACTGTTACGATGATTTTTACAGGAATGATTATGAATGATGGATGAGGAGGGGCCGGGGTGAAACACCTTGTTTAAGAAGCACATCACCCAGTAACCTGTTCAGTGGGCACCGGGTGCTCTTTTCCTGGGTTAAGGGTCCACTGTGCGGAAGGAACTGGTCACTCGCACGTACGATTGCAAAACCTAAGAATATGCTGAGGTGCTTCAGCTCCGCTTTCCTGTATGTATTAATGTTGTGGCGTTAAACCGCGAACACAAATCCACGTCCGTTTTCCTTTTACGTTTAAGTGACATTACAGAAAATTCTGCTCAAGACATAAAATTACATAAATCTTTGGAATTCAACTTATTACTTACGGCTTCTTTCTTGGATTTTTCCAGTAATTCAGCTTCTTCCTTCGTGCGTTCCTCAGCTGCTTTTAGCTGTGCCTGAGTAGCCTTCATTTTAATCCAGAGCTCGGCTTCTTGCTGATTGTGTTTGGATTCTGCACATAAACAAAGATTGAGTGAATCTAGGGATAGCAAAAATTCATGATCAGATGGTGCTGAAGACATAACACAGGAGCAGTGTTTTAGTGTGGAAGCATTTTAATTACAAAGGAACATGACACAAATGCCAATGCAAATTTAATGGAATTAAGAGATGTCATGCCATTCACTACATCAACTGTCCAACTGATCGGTACAGTTTCTGTCAAAGTGAACACGCATTATCATTGATCACGAAGTGTGTTAGGAGGCCTGTAAAACTTTACAGACGTAATAGTGTTGAAGATATTGCGAATCTTTATTCTTATTTCAGCAGCGAACTGCATGTGAATTGCGATAAGCATTTCTTTCACAAAAGACCATGCCCAGTTATCGAATGTGCGTGGTCAGTACAGGACATCTCGGAGACCAGATGAGAGGTCCATTTTTCCCAGGCCACAGCGAAAATTGTTTGTTCTATAAAGTATGAAAATCACCAGCGTAATGGGCTTTAGCCCTGTCTTCTAAAATTATGCCATTTAGAAGACGCACATTAACGAGATGTGTAATTAGCCAATGGGACATCAGATCCAGATAAAACACACGAGTCACACGTCCAATTATCAGTACAATGGTGGTGGTGTGGGCTGATACTTAAGGTATCCTTCATAATCAAAATTCACCCGGAGTTTTTTAAAATCTGGATCTCTGCAGATTGTTTCTTTGTATACTTTTTAGGCAAACCAAATTAATTACTCCTCCAAATTAGCACAGTCATCCGCATTTGAATATCGCTGTGGTCTTTCGTTTCATTTGCATTTAAGACATAGAACAGGTTACAAACATTTTTGACCTAACACTGGAAATCGGTTTCGGATGAAGCTGTTCATTAAGACAAAAGCAAATTCTGCTCTTTTTTGTTATTCCATTTGCCTCGTGCATGCTTGTCAGCCCAGATACTCATAATGGGATATTCCGCAATGCCGAACTGAATTATATCTGCACATACCGTTTCAAAACTAGAGAAATTGTCTCGTAGTAAAAGTGCATAATTTCGCAGTACTGAAAGAAAAGTCACACGCAAACCCTGGAATCTCGGCCATAACACACCACACAACATGTCTCTTCCTTGTACTTCCGGCAATGTCTCGCCTCCCCATATTCACAAGAAACATCACAATGGACGTTATCAGTTGTCTTTTTCACACATGATGAATCTTTTCTTGTGCCATACAGACCATCTGATCATGACTTACGTCTAAACTTGCAACACATAAGTATGTAAAGAAGAGGTCGCAGTAACTAAGTAACGAATAATCTACTTGCTTAATTCGTTTGTGGAAGATTTTCCTTGGGCAAGTCAAAATAATTTAAATGTTACAAAATTATCTGTTAGTTATAGAACCCAAAGGTTTATCATAAGGTGCAGAGATTCCAGGCTGTCTCATTAGACTTAAATGTGTGTCCGGTCAGCATTCAATCAGAGTTTCGTGCTCTTCATTTCCTTATGGACCAATCTAAATACTGTCACTGTTCTTGCACTGCTTTCTAATGTCATGAATGCTTTAACTTACTCGTTGTGACACCAGCAGCTTGTGAGTTGGTCTTTGTTACGCCTGAGGGGGTTGAGGGACTATTTCTTTTCCTCAGATTAACTGATTTCACTGCAGGCTTTCTTATTTCTCTCCTTATTTGACTGATTCCTTTCCTCGAGTTCAGGTTAG